AAAAAAAAAATTAAGACAAAGAAACAAACAAAAAACATAAAACCAATCTTGTCCCTTAAACTGGAATTTTAGATGTATCATGTTATGTTTATGAATTATTTGGGGATGGATTCACATTTTTACAACACTGGGTTTTCTCATTCGGAAACAAAGCATATCTCTCTCCATTTAAAAAATCTGACGTATCCTTCAGTATATTGTAATAGTTTTGTTCATATAGGTCCTGCATATTTCTTTAGTCCTAAATATTACTTTGAATGGCATCTTACCTTTTTGCCTTAAGTAGGAAAAAAAAATCATTATTGGGGATATGGCAGTGCTATGGATCTTTTTTTTGTTTTTTTTAAGATTTTATTTATTTATCTGACACAGAGAGAGAGAAAGCACAAGTAGGCAGAGAGGCAGGCAGAGGGAGTGGGAGAAGCAGGCTCCCCGCTGAGCAGAGACCCTGATGTGGGGCTTGATCCCAGGACCCTGAGATCATGACCTGAGCCGAAGGCAGATGCTTCACTGACTGAGCCACCCGGGGGGGGGGGGGGGTGGCGGCTCTATGGGTTTTATTTATTTATTTTTAAAAAATGTCATTATAAGTGATTGCAAACTGAACTCCTGGCTTTAAACTGATTTTTTGCATTAGGCGTACACATAATCTGCAAGTGGAACACACATTCCACCTCCTTTCCAGAGCGACACTGCAGATTTCTCTGTCCCATTTGCACATCAGAATGGCCATCAGAGTAACATTCCAGGGGCCCTGGTCTACTGGTCTCACCCTAACACGGGTTCTCCACACTAAGTGAAACAGGCAGGACACAGTGGCTTCCCCAATTAGTACTTGTGCACAATCACCCAAGGCAGGACTCCGAGCTTCTTGGAATTTAAATAGCATTAAAGTTGTCAATAAAGTAAGCAGAGAATCTGTCATCAGTCACCTGCCAAGGGACCCGAAAGGAAGCCAATGACAAGTCTCAGAGCAAGACACTCTCGACTAAAGGCTAGAATCTAGAATCTAATTTTGACCAATAAAAGACACACAGGCAACGCAACTTGGGGAAGGACTAGCACTGAAGTGGGTGGAAAGTTAATTACTGTGGGTGTTCGAATACAATTGCTTTCTGCAGGGCGAGGCCCCTTGGAGGAACACGCCCATGCCAGGCTCAGGTCTGTATGGGCAGGCCCCCCCCACCACACCCCCCCTGCCCAGGGAGGAAGCTTTACCTCTGTCTAAACTCCCTGCCAGCCTCGGGCCAGTGATGCACTCCTCTCTAGGCCTTACTGTCCTCATCTGTAAGATAGGAGAAATGGTGTTACTTACTTCATACGGCCTTATGAACATCAAATGAGGGGCACCTGGGTGGCTCACCCAGATGCCTGGGTGGCATCTGCCTTTGGCTCAGGTCATGATCCCAGGGTGCTGGGATCGAGCCCCGCATCAGGCTCCCTGCTCAGCGGAGAGCCTGCTTCTCCCTCTCCCTGCCTCTCTGCCTACTTGTGCTCTCTCTGTCAAATAAATAAATAAAATCTTAAAGAAAAAAATCAAATGAGTAATTGTTCATAAGGTAGGGCAGATTCTTGGTCTTAATAATGCAAAGTGTTACAAAATAATTCCAGGGGCATGCGTCTAAATCTTACGTAGGAGTCACCATTTACCACGGGGTGTGGGAGTAACTTTTGTCCCAGACCAAGTGCCCTTCCCTATGAGCCTTCCTGCCCCACCCAGCATGGCTCTGCCCGCCCATCTCCTGCTCAGAGGGCACAGCCTGCATGTATCCCCAGTGCTGGTTCAACCCTTAGAATCACAGTAGTAACTGGAATCCGACATCAGGGGGCTCTCACAGGAGTGGCCAGCTACCCTCCCGGAACAACAGGCCTGAGCTTTGCCACCGTTACTGTCTTTGAGGTGCCTGGTCACTTCCTAGCTGCGATTCTGATCTAGATGCTGGACTTGACCTTCGCAGGCCAGATAAGGCAGTATGACTGTGTCTCCAAAGAATGGTATTAGGCAAGAGAAATTCATGAACTTCTCTTTTTGGGTAAAGAGGCTCTCCTACAGTAAGTACAGGTTTTTGAAAAAGAAAAAGTTATCTGCAACTAAGAATATTAAAAAGATAGAAATACTCAGAGATTTCAACTCTAATATTCCAGGATTATCTAAAATTACATTTAGACAAAAACAGAATAGAACTATCTTTATCTCTGGAAGAAGGCAAAGGTGAGTAGATGGTGAAGAAAGAGGTCTGGGACAAAAGGAGGGGGAGGGGTCACACAACTCCAAGGCCTGCCTCCTGGTGGCCACAGGGGAGCATTTCCAGGGGCCTGTGCTAAATGTTTCACATTGGCTTAATAATATCAGATAATATAATGAGAAAACGGGACCTTACCACCCATGTTCTCTTTGTGTTAATCCACATCGAAATTTCTAATTAATTCATATTAAATATAAAAAAGCAATTCATTCCTTCATAAATGGAAGTAACCCCGAGTGTCCATTCAGCAGATACTTGCTGCAGATGGTCCATCCACACAGTGGAAATATTATCGGGCCTGAAAAAGGAGGGAGATCCTGAAACCTGTGGATGAAACCTGAAAACATTATGCAGAGTGAAGGAAGCCAGACACAGAAGGACAAACATTGTCTGATTCCGCTTATACGAGATCCCCAGAATTGTGAAATTAACGGGGACAGGAAGCAGGGGCTGGGGGAGGAGGACAGGGAGTCCGTGTGTTATGGGACAGAGTTTTAGTTTGGGGAAGATGAGGAAGTTCTAGAGAGGGATGGTGATGATAGCTGCAAATGGTGTGAATGAAATTTAAAATGGTTCAGATGCTAAACTTTGTTATGTGTATTTTACCACAATTTTTAAAAAATGGCTTAAAAAAACCCTCCAATTTACTCTGTTTAGGCAGTATCACAAAAGGAGGAAGAGGAACAATGTCAGTGTGGAGTTGTCTCCTGAAAACAGAAGTTGTACAGTGTGAGCTCTAAGAGTCTCCACTCCACATGAAATTGGCCACACAAAAGATCTGGAAATCTGTGTGGAAGAATTCTTCCAAGTATGTGACCAGCACACATCTGTCTTAAAGTCATCTTCCTGCCATGACTCTCTCTACAGCTGCAGTTTGTGGAAGTCAAAAGATTTAAGTCATCATGACCCTACATGAATTTTCAGATACCATCAGCAAAATCAGAACAATTAGGACTGGCAGGATGGCATTCTATGTGGACAGCAGCTAATTTAACTAAAAAAAAAAAAAAAAAAAAAAAAAAAAA